ATATCATAGAATAGTTTGGGTTGGAAGGGACCTTAAAGCTCACTATTTCCAACCCCACTGCCATGCACAGGGCTGCCACTCACCAGCTCGTGCTGCCCAGCATCCCATCCAACCTGGCCTTGAATTCCTCCAGGGATGGGGCTTCTCTGTAACCTTGAAGGTCCCCGTGAAATCTGTCTCCACTCAAGCCCAGGAGGCTCAGAAGCCTGCTGCTGGCTGGGTGCAGAAGCCTTATGGCATCCAGCAGTATGGTGGCTGCAGGCTGGTGCATTCCTCAGGCTTGTGGAAGCTCCTCATACTTTCAACAGAGAATGGTGAATCCTCCAAATAACAATAGAAAACTGAATAATTCCCAGTTCCATTTATAGAACAGTTTGATTTCCATTGAGAATTGAAACACCGGGAGAAAGAGGTGTGTTGCTGCCACTCCATAAGCGATAAAAGGAGGAGGGTTTGTTAACGGAAGCGCAAAGTTATATTTGGTTGTATTGTGGGTAACTGATGGTTAAAAGCGCTGTGTTTACAGACACTGCCTTCTTTCAGTGGAACAAGCACAAACAGAGCACATTTTCCAACATCTCAGTTGCTGCTGTTCAAAGTTCCGTGCCATTTTTTTTTCATACATAGAATATTGAATTTCTAATTTCTGTATGCATTCGTATGTAAGTACTTGTTTATCAGTGCTCAGTCCGTGCCGTTTAGCTAATGTCAGGGCTTCAGCTTGGTTGGGTTTTGTCCTTCCAGTTCCCATCCGAGCACCCAGAGGCCCCTCCAATGAAGCTGCCAGCAGGGAAGCTCTGCAGGAGGGGCAGCAGAGAAGCATGACTCGGAAATTTTACATAACTGTAAATCCTTTTTTTTTTTTTTTTTTTTTTTTAGTGAACCAGACCATCCCTAAATGACCGTTCTCAGAAAAATGTAACCACAGAAAAGATTTACTGTCTGAGCACCGCGTTTAATATTTTTCCCATTCACAAAATACTTGTATGTCTGGACACGAGACTTAGTTTGAAGGGTGTGTTTTGCTTCTTGTCTGGCTCATTTAAACTGCTTATACACAACTGCTCGGGCAGAGAAGGGGTAAGAATGATGTTTCATCTCTTCTGTTATGAAGTCCCGGATGCACAGTACTGCTGGTGGAAAGCAAGTGGTAAAAGGGAGGGTGCAAAAACTCAAAGGTAAACTTTTTTTTTATTTGGGAGCAACCCAAACTCCTTCCTCAGGCAAGGCAGCACAACGAGTTCGTACGAGGAGCTTGTCCTTGGAGTACCCTGTTCTCTAGCTGAGATGCAGCTGACATTTGACTGCCAAGCTCTGGGGAAAACTGAGGGATGATAAGAAATGAGACATTTGGTGCAATTAGCTGCGGTACCAACCCGGGAGCAAAAGTAAACAGTCACAACGTGAGGAAGAGAGCATCTTTCAGAGTCAAGGTCTAAATTGCTTGTAGATGTAGCAGTTCCCCACTCTTGGTGTATTCTTTGGCAATTTCCTACTCAGTAATTGGTTTGTCTGCTTCCAGATCCTGGAGATCTGCAACTGGCTTTGGCTGCCTCTTGTCTCCTCCTATCCCACCCCAGGACGTGCCGTGATCCCGTGCTGTGCTGCAGAGCAGCTGCCGCAGCCCACATCCGCTGAGGCTCTCCAGCTGCAGAGGGGCTGAGGATTAAAAATTAAACTAACACACATTTAAGAGCTCTGGATGGGCAAACTCAATCTAAATTTTTGAAAGGAGTACAAATGACTGCAGGTGTGCCAGTTGCTTTTACTTCCGTTCTGTCACTGAATATAGTACTGTGCAGGGGAATGGTGGCTGGTTAGGAACAGTTTGTGCTGTGTGATGAGGCACTGTTTTGCCATTTGTCTCCAACAGTTACTTTCATGGGAAAACTGTCTTGTAATTTTACATCAACTCTTGCAGAGTTGCCTTACATTTGTTTTTCATTCCTAAAGAAAAAGCAGAAATGCAGGGTATTTGCATAGTCCCTGAAAAGTTTTGGCAATAACTACAGGAAAAAAAAAGTTACAACTCAAATCCAATGCTGCATCTGAGCTTGTGGGGTCACTTTTGGCTCTTCCGGCCAACTCTGTGGTTGCTGAGCATGGAGAACTGGGCCAAGAACTGGGCCAACAAGGTTCAAAAGTAGAACCCTCTAAGAAAATCAACCTGAAGCCATAGAATTTTCCCCTTTCAAATAGGAGAATTCACATATTACCTGTAGGTATGAGTTCATTCTTAAGTAAGGAGCCACATTGCAAAAGAGTCATGAAAACATCATCTCCTTTTCTGCTGGTTCCCCTGGCATTGCTGGCAGTGCCATGCACATCGGTGCCCACCAGAGCTGAGATGTGGGGAGGGCTGAGTACCAGCAGGCTGCATGGAACTACTGAGCCAACACTGAGCCCCCATAGTGTGTGTTAAACCAAAGAGGAGAAGGGCAGTGAGAAAGGAGGGAAAAATACCACCCGCAGGATGATAAATGAACCGGACAGCTGCTGTGCTGGGTACAGCCTGGTGGGAAGGGCCTTGATTTGCCCCAGACAACAAAAAAGCCTCACTGACTGGTAACTCCAGGGAGAACTTAAATTCAGGGATGATACCAAATCACTGCAGCTGGCTGTAGTGCTGTCTTTGCAGAAGAGCACATAAAGGATCGCCTTCTATTGCTTAAGGCAATAAATGCTCAGGAGTAAAGGTCGAGGACATTTTGACTTTTTAGAGCCTGCAAAATTATGCACTGAAATGTCCAAGAAAAACGATGTAATTCTGATCTTATGCAGCCTAAAATTCATGAAGATTCAGAGTTCTCATTTGTCAGTGCATCTAAACAATCTATCTCAAGTTAGTTGCAGCAAAGATCTAATTATCTTTTCTACTGCACCTTCCTCCTCTCCCTTCGTATTACATGGCAGTGCTGCAGACCATTCCTGCAGCCTCAAATTTATGATTAATTGTTCGTAAATTATTAAACGGGGCTCTTTGAGTCATCTGTTCTTTATCTACCTGCAGACGCGTTTTGTCTGCCTTGATCGTACAGCTTTTATTAACCTTGTCCTCAGAGCAGAATTCTTCCTCAAATCATTCTTTGTCCCTAAAAAGTTATGGCATCCTTTGTTTTGCAAAGTGGAAAGACTTCAAAAAAGAAATCCCTCGTCTTTCCTCGTAACAAGAACAGGATGTGCAGTAACTCTGGTTTACATAAGCCTTCCTGGAAAGCAGAGCGTGACTCTGGAATCAATAAAAGCTGCAGCGCAGTGCTATAAAGAAGAGAAGTTTTTGTGAAGGTGTGTTGCTGTACAAGGGGACATTAAAAAGACGAAACATCAAGTCTCCATTTTACAGTAACTGTACAAAATATAAGAAATTACTGGGATTGTTCCTTTACAAAGCTTTAGTTAACAGAGTGTGTTCAGTATAAGAGCACGAACATGCCATCAGACTTATTGCAACAGGAATTACCGACTGATGTCCATATCTGAAGAGTTTTATCTATTATCTAAAAAAGAAAAAAAGGAAACAAGCTTTACTTGACCTACAACCTTAGAGGATGTGGGGCATAAGAGAAGCAAAGCAATAGCGTGATGCGGACCGTGCTCCATTAGGGTCACCTGACACTGCTGGCACTTGCTTAGCTTACACTGAGGAGACAAAGTCATGCTGAAGAGTATTTATGCTGTAATTTTAAACTTGGTCAGTGGCCTGACTGCAGCAATACACTGTAGGGCTTATGGGAGAGTAAGGAGAACCAGAGTGAGTGCAGCAAATCATTCATCTGTGTGTGATGCTGTGCTCAGAGAACGCCAGGGGCAAACACACGAGCAGCATAGAACAACTGTTCTCATTGTTTTCCTACTGAATTTGAAGTAAAATAAGAATGGGGATAACTAGTCATGCTATGACATGACATTTGAAGACAGCAGTAAGCACCTGGCTCTACGCTTGCCAGCCCCATGGCTGGCTACTGCTGGGGTGTCAGGTCCTGTATCTGCAGTACCTACACTTGCCCCTTTGGTTACTGAACCAGCCACGACAACTTCTTTCAGTATAATCAATGAATTCACCCTTGGTTTTACTCTAACATAAACTGAAAGGGGAATTTGAGACAGGAGTTCCTAAGAAACTGAGGAGGAAGGAAAGCATATTGCAGCTACACTGCGAACGCAAAATTTGCACCCAATTTTTCATACCACAGAGATGATGCCCAATCGCTTTGCATAGCAATTTACTGAGTCAGAACATGGCAGCTGGCAGCTTGAGCAGTGAAGTCTTACAGTAGGACACAGCTCAGAGTTTTCCAGGAGCTCTTCCTGACCATCCTCTAAGCTACGACACCTCATGGGGACTCGCTTTGCTGAATTAAGTAAAGCGTGAGACCTCCCTCAGCATCTCACTGTGAGGAAGACATTGAGGCCCTGGAGCTTGTCTAGGGAAGGGCAGTGAAGCTGTGAAGGGTCTGGAACACAAGTCTTATGGGAAGTGGCTGAGGGAACTGGGATTGTTCAGTCTGGAAGAGAGGAGGCTCAGGGGAGATCTTATCGCTCTCTGTAATTGCCTGACGGAGGTGGTGATGAGGTGGGGGCCAGTCCCTTCTCCTGCATAACTAGTGATAGGAGAAAAGGGAGTGACTTAAACTTGTGCCAGGGGAGGTTCAGGTTGGATATTAAGAAAAAGTTTTTCTCAGAATGGCAAAACATTGGCACAGGCTGCCCAGGGAGGTGGTGGAGTTACCGTCCAGGGAAATAACCAATAGCTGTGTAGGCGTGGCACTGAGGGACATGGTTAGTGGGTGTGCTGCTGGTGGGCTGCTGGTTGGACTCAATGACCTTAGTGGTCTGTTCCAACCTTAATGATTCTATGATTCTATGATCCTTCACTGGTAAAACAGTGTTCTGCTGGTCTGTATTGCACTATTAATACACAGAGACTCAGGTCCTCTTCATGACACAGTCAGAATAATAATGGTTATAGATATAGATGTGTATATATATAATTTAAAATTTTATTTAAAATTTTGCGCATACACTTCTTCAGCATCCTCCTCTTTTTTTTCATTGCACTGAAAAGTTTCAAAAAACACAAAATATATCCCTTTACCAAACATTTTTTTGTTCTTAGGTTACAAAAAGATTAACATTTCACAGTCACAAAACGTAAGTACATTGGTCCAAAACATCTTCCTCCAGCAGCTCCGCTGTTCTTCAAGACATACAGAACCTGGACAGTTTTACGGGTCTCCAAATAAGATGACTTGTCCAATGAGGAAAAGAAAAAAAAAAAGTGGAAGCTATTAAAAAAACAAACCAAACCAAAATAAGATACCTATGAAACAACATCACCAGCAACAGTCAAAAAAAAAAAAAAATAATAATAATAATAATGAGAGTGGAGGTGGACAAGAGCATCCTCCTTCAAGTACATCACAGGTAGAAATACAGCAGCACAGTTACAGCATCGTTTGGTCGCTCTGTCTATGGCAGCCACTGCAATGTATCTTCATCTCAGACACACAGAGGAAAACTATTTACACACCACGAATGTCGGAGAAACAACAATTTCATATAGTTTGCAACTCATGTTTGATACAAGTGTTGAAATCATTTGCACAGTATGTTTCAAAAAATAAAAGGAAGTGGAATGCTGAGGCAGGAAGGAACGCGGCGGATTTGCTTGGAGCATGTAGTGTTCTTTAAAACCTAAAAGCTGAAAGCCAAAACATGAAGTGTAGTTCTTAGTTCTTCAAAACTATCCGGGAGGCACAGCACCTACCACACATCACACACCTCCCTGTTGTACTTTAACATGGAAGCAACTCCAACGTGGAAATTCACTGCTGATAGCAAACTAGGACTGCTTTTCCTTTAGTTGTCAGCCCTGTCGCTCTTTCAAATTCCTTGTATTAAAACCAGTTTCTCTCTCCAGCATGAGGACATTGAAAATTAGCCCTCTTAGACAACAGACTTCTGTGTTCATAAAGGAAGCATCACTGCATTAATTTAGCAAGAGACAGTTGTGTGCCTCACTTTAGATGTGGCTGAAATTTCGAACTACTGTCTTCATCAAGTTAAGCAAAGATGACTTCAGGCTGTAGTGTGAGACAAAAAGCTGTGACACAGCTGTACTTCCCTCTTCGACAGTATTCACAGGAGAACAGAAGCTGCTCCTTTTAATCTTCTAGAAATTAGACTGCATCAGGCAGCAGAAGGCAGTGTTAACAGCACTGCCCACTGATCTGAACTACAAGAGCTTCCTTTCCTTGCTCTTGTCCAAGAAATGATAACCTTCCAACATACTGGCACAGCGAGCACTACCTACTAAGACAGAGGTAACCAGGACCGAGGCTCCTTGCTGCTAATGCTGAAACAACATTGGGTGCTAACAGAACTTCACTAGACAAAAAGCCACATTGCCACCAGGATCAGGCAGTGACTAAGGTGATGTACCCAGGATCTAAACTTTGGAGTTGGTGCTGCTCCTAACTGAAGGGCTGCATGGAGCAGTGGAGGATCTGCAAGCCTGAATGGTGACTCCATCCCATGCCCAACTGAAAGGTGCACTGTGTACTGCGGGTCACAACTCCCCTCTGTCACCAGTGATTTCTAATGCTATGACTTCTCAAATAATGCATGTTATGAAGAGAATAGGAAATGCTTTGTTATCCTTGCTTCACACATGGTACCTCCCCAACTCATGGCTCCTGCTTCCTATTTGCATCGCGCCTTGGTGCGTGTATGTACCATGCCATGAAGCAGAGCACAGTGCAGGCATGTAAGAAGCCCCAAATGAAAGCAGACAGAAGTGAAAGCCCAGGCACCAAAGCAGTGAGAGCCACAGACCACCAGAGCCACTCACAGTAGGTAAGCCTGTAAACGTGTAACAGATACTTTGTAAACAAGCAAAACAAAAAACATCACAGCACGGTTTCAGTCACATACAGCTGAGTAGGAAGCTTTTTATTACTCTTGAAAACGTTCAGAGTTGATGCTAATTGATATTAATTGTTGATGCTGCACCTCTGCCCTTTCCAGAAGGGCTCACAGCTGACACAGCGTGACCTGGGTGGGCACAGCAGTTGCTGGGAAGCAGGCTGACTGATGGCAGTACCTCAGATGAACAACAGACGCTGGAGGCTGATGCACAGAGCCGTACCACTGCCCACCACGCTTTGCTCTGACAACTTATCAGTGAGTTGGGTCCCACCAACTTGCTGTGCTGCCCCATCACTCTCAGGGTGCATTTAAAAACACCTCTGAAAGAGGGTATTTCCATCACCTTGAAGTTTCACTTTTATATTTTGGCAAATATTGCACTGGAAATTCATTCAACCCCATTGTACTCAGTGGTTTCATAATGACTGGTATGTTTGCTGACCCCATGATACTAAAGAACGAAGACTAACAATACATGGGCACAAAAATTTCTGACTCAGGATTGAAGTTGGTCACAGCAAGCGCCAGCTTCGTTGCTGTTCATGTGACTTCAGAGGAATTGCCATTAGTTTCCCCATTAAAGAAAGGACTACACAAATGCATTTGCAAAGAGACAACAGGAGTTACACAGAGCACAAAAAGCATGTTGACAAGTTTATTAGGCAAAATAATAATAATAATTAAAAAAAAAAAAAAAAAGTAAGAAAAGAAGAGCACAAAAAGATCTCTTGGTTGAACTTTGAAACATACGTGGGACCATGTGAAAAATACTCTAGACTTCAAACCTGCAAATCTCTTCACCTAGGTGCACAAAGAAGAAGGAAAAGGGGAAAAACAAAAAAGAACAAACAGATAAAGCATGGCAACACTTAATCAGATATATGACTGGTACTGGAGCTCTAGAACATAAAACACCAGTGTTCTGCACTGCTTTATCACACGCAGGCACTGGGGAACGCATGGAACAGTTCTCAGACTAAAATCACTCAGCTGGACACATGTCTGAGCCATTACACACTCTGCGTTGGCTCATCTCAATCTGAAACTCCTACTGGGTCTAGAAATTAAAGAAAGGGCATTTAAATCCACTGAGAATGTTGCACATGTACTTTGGATGCAATCAAATAAAGCATCTGGGCTGCTATACCAAACAGCACTGTACTTTGTTTATATAGCACGTTATAAATTACAGAACTGGCTAGCTCTAGGCCAGTCTTGTTCAGGAGAAAGACTACACAACTCCAAGAACACCAAGGATACAGTATCCTGCTCTTAGAGCTGGCAGTTTCTCCTTTAGAAAGGATAAAACATCTTTGAGATGCCTAGTCAGTGCTCCACAGTTAGCTCAGCTCCCTGTCTTCTGGCTATCCAAGAAGTAGCTTTTATGTACAAGTCAGATTAGCAGCTCCAAAAGAATGAGGTCTGGGACAATGGAGGCTGAATCTAACCTCCCAGCTGACACATCTGCCTACAAACGAGAACTTTTGGATTTATTTAATTTTTAATTGCGGCCAGTAAAGTGAAGAGCTGTCTGCCCACAGAACAGGCAGTCAAGTCAAGCTGCGGATTTGCTCAGTTGTTACTCTCTTGGACTATTGCTTGTACTCTGACAACGTCCTTGGATTTTCTTTATTTAAACTGACTTAGCACTGCTAAGAAAAAGCTGATGAAGCTAGCCATAACTATCACAGAGATCATCTGATCCTCAGCCACAGTCCTCAACAACCAAGAGGGTGTGAGGTTATTAACTCTCACCTTCTCATCACCAAGTCAAGCAGGCAAAGGTATGCTGAACCAAGAAGTGAAATCATTCTTAAATAGATCACCATCTGAGTCTCTTAACTGGTAACCAGAACAATTCCATCACTTCAAGTAGAAATCCAGCTGAAAATACACTCAGGAGCCCAAATAAATGTAGAACTTTTCCTCAGTTGAGGGTCAGTGTGTTCAGGGATCCTTCCAACAGGACAAGGCAGACAGAACCATTCAAAGAATGAAAATCTCTGATCCCAAAGGAACCAGAACCTCCAGGTAAACATCACATAATGCCAAGCTTGCTCGCTCTGTATAAGCATGGTGTACACACAACAGGGAGTCTTGACAAATAATTCTTCATACCTGAACAGATCTCGTAATACAGGACTGTGACCTATTTCTCCTGGACAATTTTGTAGGTGGCTGTTTTAGCTGCAGTAAACAGGCATAGTCACACAAAAAACAATTTCAGTTTTCCTACTAAAATACAGGAATATAATCTACTGAAGAAGAGACCAGAGGGAAGAAATGGGGATTCAAAGGATTACATCAGTTTGCAGTTGTCCGTAGGCAAGTCATGAAAGCATCTTTTTGGAAGAAGAAAACTCTTGAGTCTCATTTATACGTATAAAAGTATTTTTAAATGAGATGTGATCCAAGTCACTGCTCTGAATATTTCGGGTTAGACTTCAGGAGCCTCCTTGGCTTCTGATACTCACTTCTATTTTCACAACTGAAATGGCTCTTCCAAGCTACATGGCAAACTGAAAAAAATTAATTCTTACTTCAGGTCTTCACCTGGAGGGAGGATAGAACCCACAATATGCTAGCAGCATTTTGATCTCATTCCCATTAAGCACCAAAACCTTTACTACAGGGGAGTTGTAATCTTAAGGGTTATCTGTAATCATATATAGTCTATGTGCAGAGCCCTATCTTTCAGGCAGAAAAATACCCCTCCAGCATTAGCTATGAATAGACTACATCAATTGGAGACGTCCTGGTCAGATCATCCAAAACACATCGTCTCTTACAGGCCCTTCCCCAAAAGATCCCCTTTCCATAACCACTCTCGACGCTACTTTCACGACTGCTTGTTCCCATGTATTAAAGGAATGACGTAGACAGAAATGTCGTCTCCAGAGCCCAGCCTGTCGTTGGATATTCGCCAGCCCCGGTCCTTCAGCACTCCCCGGGCTCGCATCACCAGGTCCTGCGCCGCCAACGTGTACCTGGGGAAAGGCAGAAGACAGCTGGTACCATGCGCTAGCCTTGTGAGGAAAGCCTGTGAGATGGACATTTGTGAGGTACAAGGACAAGTCACTCAGCATTTGAGAAGCACATAAATGTTAATGATCACCTTCCCACAAAGCAATCGTCTGTCATTCCCTAACAGCTTTTATTTCAGAATCTCGAGGTATTTCATAGCAATCATATGTCAGAAGGTGACCAGTCATTTTGGGTGCTCAACTTCACCAGTTTTCTGAAAATATTAAAACACTTCCTTTAGCAAATTAAGTTTCTAGGAGTGATTTGAAGAATTAAGGTCATAAAGTAACACCACTCATTTACTGAGCTCTGTATGCCCATGGGCTGAAACACCTGAAGGTAAATACGGGCCTACTCACTTTGGAGGGACACTGTAATGAAGCAAGTGATTTGAAAACAAGCAGCAAATCCTAATTCAGCAATCCTTCCGATCCCAACGCAATATTGATCAGATATGTTCTCCCGTATCCCTTTGCCTGCTGTTACTAGATCAACACATCTGAGTGCCGATTCAGAAGTTTCTGCTGAAAGAAATCTCATTATGGATGAACAGCTATTCCAGTCAATTCTCAACCCAATACCTGCCTGCGATGTTTTGAATTTAGCTGGGTGGAGTACAGTTTTTCTATCGGTTCGCTAATAAAATAATCAAACAGTTAAGAGACTCACAAGGAAAATAAAACAACAGTACAATATTGTGCCTGCCTGTATTTCATTTAAAGCTTAATTATCAGCCTCTCATAGGATGAGGGGCTCTCTATAATGCCCTCTATAAAGCCCAGATAATCAGAAGCAAAGGCACTTCTGTAATTCACAGAAAGCAGGAAGGACAAGAAAGGTTGGCATTTCAAGACCCCCTTTTCTAGGGAGGATGCTGGGCCAGAAGTGATCAGCCCAGATCTGCCTGAGGCACAGAACTGAACAGTATCTCCACTGATCAGAAGCAGTGGACAAAAAAAGAAGGTGTGTATTAATTGAGTATCCAGGGATTGTTCAAATCCCAGAAAATTTCACCACAGAATGAGTTATTAAATATATCTGCTACCCAAAAAGACTTTATTTGCTCTCCTAGGTGAAAAATACCCAGTTTATTATGTTCTATTGCTACAATTTTGGTTCCTAAGCTTAAAAGTCTCCTTTGAATCAGGAACAGAGAGATTTATTTTCTCTACTAAGAAGTTATATTCACTGTAAATAAACCAACACTTCACTGCATAGAAGGTTTGATGTTAAGTCCAAATAACATTCTACAGAGGTAACGCACTACCTGCTCCCAGTGGTACGGACAAGAGTGGTAAACTTTCCAGGCCCTTCTAGCTTTGACATGAGATTTACTTTTAGTGGTTGGAGAAGGGCCTGAGGGTCATTCCGCACCACTCAAGGCGCCAACTCGAACACATACACTTGTGCACATGTGTGCACTCTCTCTGCAGGTTCCAAGATCATCCGCATCGAAGACCTTGAGATGAAACAGCAGGAGGTGACAAGAACCAGTCATACTGTCCTAATAACAACATAAAACTTTGTTTCCTAAGGGAAAAAAAGAAAACAAACATACTTGCATTCCTCAGTTCACAGATCCCCAAATCAGATGCAGGGCTAAAGAATAGAAGGACTCCACATGGTAAGCGAGAAACTGAAGCATTCATTCAAAGCATGAATGCTAAAAGAATTTTGGCTAAGAACATCTTTTTCAAGGGCTTCTCAGCTACTGTCAGAACTTAAGAGAAGCAAACACCCACCATCCTGGCAGAAAACTTTGCGTTGCTTCTTTTCTAATTAGCAAGAGCTCCCCACATCTAAGCAGTACAAAGGCATGCGTATTGCTCTTTATTGTATAGTGATTTGCTGCTTAATGTTTGGATAGGGCAAGATTTAAAAAAAGTCTGATAAACCAGAAATCTCTCATAGACAGGCTGAAATACACAAGAAAAAGCGGCACATTGAAGCAGAGGAGAAGGAACAGGTGAAAGCAGTAGCAAGGTAACACATTTCTTTCCTAGCACAGAGCTGAATTGGAGCAATGCTGTTCAACTTGGCACTGTGACAGGGTGAGTTTCTTGTACCTGGAGATGAATAGCAGCAGCAGTCCATTATCGAGTGCTTTTATTCTCCAGCGCTGTGAACTTGGGATTCAGCTGTCAAGACAGCATTAGAGAACTGCTGAAGTAGTTTTAAAGTACCCACTTCCTCCTAATGAACAGTCTTGCTGGAATACAACTTCTGTGTTTTAAGAATATATATATATATTTTTTCTCCTGCTCAAGCTTTCAGTATTGATCAGTGAAAGTACTGCAGGAGAAATGGTGACAGCAGGGGCAACTTGCTACTGTTTGAGCAGCTTCTTATCCCCTCGTATTCAGCAGGAGCAAAGCAGTTCCCCAGCACCCTCGTAAATCTCCATAAGGGTGAAGGAGAGTGTGAGAGGGGATGAAAAAGGATGGGAGGGAGGAGAAGAAGCAGAAGACTCCCTAGGTCAGTGTGTAAGCAGGTGAAGGAAATGGTCAACATTCACACTCTTCTTCATCTTCATACTTCTGCAGACAGATGTACGAAAAACATCTGTCATGTAATGTGTGTCATTACCTCATTCTCTTTGCTCAGGGTCCCCTTCATGCTCCTGTCTGAACTGAGCTAGCAAAGAAATCCAACTCAAGCTCAGCTTCTTCACTCCCTCACAGAATTGCCCAGCTCTCAGAGAAACCGCTCTCTCATCACGTCTGTTCTCATCACTCATTGCCCAGATCCCCTGGGGTTGTGTCTGCATGGCTGGCTGAAGACAGAACCAGCTTCACTCCCTCTGCACTTGGAGATGCCCAGGCACATGTTACATTTGACAGGATTCAAAGATGTTTTTCTGTGGGTAACAAACACTCCTAGTTCTGACAGTAAATATCAACAGGAAAGAGTCCCAGGGGCTTTCCCAAGGGCTATGAGCTCTTATCCATCAGGCTGTAAAACGATTCCTAATTCAAATGGGAGGGATGTTGTTCCCTCAAAGAGCTGATTACATAACCGATAAGTGCTCTGCAGCTCTAAAATCTTCCTATTTTTTTTTTTTCCCCAAGTATGCTGCTGTCAGGGAATAAGTAGGCTACTGGGTCAGATGGATGCAGGGTCCGCTCCAACAGGTAGGTTCTTCAGAACTCTGCAGAATTATGAAGCCTAGGGGGCAACTCTCTTCCATTTTGACAAGTTTTCTACATCCCTAGAGATTTTACATTTCCAGCTGCTCACCTCATCACAGACTCCAGATGCACTCATCACAGAACTTGACATTCTGTGGGATAACATTTCCTCTAAATGCAACACTGATAACACTGCAAACACAATTCTCCTGTCACTGACTAGTGAGAGGAATTAACACAACTCCATAGTCTGAGGTGCTATGCTATTGTAAAGTCATTAGTTATACCTTATTTGGACCACTGAAGTAATTATATAAAACCTCTCACATAGTACTTTAAACCCTTTAAATATTCTTTATAACCAAATAGCAATTCCACAAAGGTAATTTTCATAAATATCACTGTAAACTATACAGGGGACTGTTCTAATTACCTTTTGCAAGCTGGCATGAGAAATGTCTTGGTGCCACTATTTGTAAGCCTCTAAATGACCTGGCACAAAGTTACTTAAAAGAACAAATTAATTTTCAATTCAGATGTCCATTCACAGATCTGTAGGTCAAACACTAATAAATGTGTTTGCACTAAGTCATAATACAGCAGGCTCAATTCTAGAGTGTGTTACACTGCTACAAACAGGACTAATCTCCCACACTTACTGGGGCCAAACAAGCACAAATAAATCTACATCCAAGTAAATATTTTTCTTTTAGTCTCTGATTTCTTGATATTTTACTTATAATGGATGAAAGATCACTCACCCAGCAAGCAAAAAAGATTGAAAAAAGAATTCCTACAACAAAAGCGTTGATTATCATCAGTGCTGGGAACACCAGAAGGAACAAGACCGACGCAGTGCACTCACACTGTATTCACAATGAACAGGTAGGACCAGGCCAGATGGTAGGATGAGCCAACCTTTCCCAATTACTAGATGAGAATGGAGACAGAGTGAGGCAGAGGCTTTACATTATACCAGCTGTCTTTGCAGGAGGACTGTCAGGGGTGCAGAATTCAGAGAAAAATCTCCCTACCACCACTGAGTGGTACCAGGGTATAACAGAAGTTGATTGGGTGGGTCCCCTCCTACTGAACAGCCTATCTGCACAGCACAGTGCCAGGTGCTCTGGAAGTGCCCCTCACTAACCATGCCTGATCTCCCTCAGATGGAGGGCAGAGGAACTTTCATGCCTTGCTGAGTTAGAGAAGGCCTTGGTTGTCATTAGTGCCCCATCTCCTCTTCAGGGCAAGGAGGAAGGAAGGTCAAAGTACTGCAGTTGCTGCTTCACGCTCATCACCCATTCACCTGACAACTGAATGCTTGCAGCAGAATGTTATTTTGCATTCCACGCTTCTGAATAAGTGTCCGGATAAGAACATACTGCTTGTGATTTGCTTTGGAGTGCCTGTCACTGTGAATCCCAAGTGGCTGCCAGGGTGTCTGTATCCATTCGCTGTCTTCCTTGTTTGCTAATGGAGAACAGAGCTGACCTCATGAAAATGCCTGCTCAGAAATATTAAAAACACAAAGCATTTTGCAACTGGTTTACCCTCAAGAACTGCAACATCTGAACAACTGAAACTGGAACATTCATTCAAGTGAGTGAAACAATCCTACATGTTCTCATTTGGCTGCTGAGATATCCCAGTGCTTATCTCCCAAACTCCGCTTTCTACAGACCAACTGGGGTGGTCTGAGGGCTCTCTTCCCCCACTCTCAACCAACCCAATGAGAGAGCAGAAGACAACCATGGCCATCCAAACCTGTGTTCTGAAAGACTTCTCCTTTTGGAACACTTTCTAGAGAAGGATAAAGCTATCTTCCTTTCATCATTCTCCCTTTTTAGAAGTGAAAGACTTCTGATCTCCAGCATGATGCTTTAATTCACAGCGACACTGAGCTCAGCAGCAGACGGGCAGACCAACCCACTGTGGTGTTCTAGTTAGTTGTTTGGGAAGATTTTGTTTGCTTGATGGGGTACTTTAAAGAGAGAAGCTGACCAAGTAAGAAAAGATGAACATGGGAAAATGAAAAGGATCATTCTGAAATAAACAGAATCCAGCAACTTGAAACAGAATCAAGCTCTGCACCTATTTTGTCACCACACCCGTTTGGCAGCAGGCAAGCACTGAGCATCCACTATCGCACATGGTTTCATAGGCCACAGTGTAACTTGCAATGAGAAGCACCCACACTGTGCTGTATTTATCCATACATATAGAGGGAGAGAGATGTTGCTAAGGTCCCAGCAAGAAACAACTCTTTAGTGTTAAAAGACTATCCAGGGGAGAGCTAGGTGGAATTCTGTGACTGCTGGAGACCTGTTGTCATGTTCTTCTGTGTCTTCAACCTCCTATGGTTTCTACAGAATCTACTACAGCATACAAAATGGATCTTGTGCCAAGATACCATGATCCCACAACTTTCCTCTGAAGGCAGACATTTCTCAGTTATAACGGAAAAAAACACACTTGCTATACAGACTCTCTGTGCTGTGTAAAAACATGCAGTTTGCTGAATGTTACCCACATCATATGTTCTACACAAATACGTTACCAAAAAGCATTCTTAATATCAGAGAAGCTGGAAAGCCAAGGGATGAACGCAAACCTGTGGGGATCATCAGGGTCACAGTTTGGCAGGAAGTTAGTGACAGCTTCTGCCACTTCTTCATTTAACAGCACATCCCAGAGTCCATCTGTAGCTAGGATCAGAACATCATCCGGCCCATGCTCATACTGCAGTAGGTCATAGACTCTTACCTAAAACACACAAAAAAACATTCATGAAGGAGGAAACTGCCAAATCTGTTTGTGGATTGTTGCTGAGCTGGCTCTAAGATAGCAGGTTGGCCAGGGCACTGAAATCCATTTCCCGCAGTCTTGCTCTCCAGCCTGCAGCTCCTCCTGGCCCAGCTCAGCCCTGAACTGACCCAGTCGGGATGGATGCAAGCGTTGCTGAGCTGGGCTGCATGGCTCTGTGCTGCCAGCAGTGATCAAAGCCAGCCTGGTTCTGCATGCAAAGCTCTTCTCTCTTGCTGGCAGGGCTAGTCAAATGGAAGCTGAATAATTTATTTGATGAATTTTTGATATTTTCTAATAAAGTATTCAAAAATAATTGTTTTCATCATTTGTCCAGATCCATTTAACTCTGCCAAATAAATTGTACATGTTTGGAAGAAGGCATCTCATTTGCCTCTCTAGACCCAAAGCATGAACTGCACTTAGGAATTATGCCTCAGCAAGCAAACAGTTCCATGAAATGGAGAGAAACTCTTTTCCTGCTCAATTATGAGTATCTTTAAAGCGGGTAGAGACCCGTTCTAGATTGGCACAGAAGTGAACCCCCAACCGTATTCTCACAATATTGTTTTCTTGCAGTGCCTGCTGGCTTCACCTCCGCAGACAGGTCGACCATGGCTGTCAGCATGGAGGCCCAGCCTGCAGCGTCACCCACGGCCCTGTCCCTGTGAGATGGAGAAAGCCGGCAGCAAAGGCCGATAACCCAGACGCTGCCAGCTGAGCCCAAACATGAGCACACGTCATTGGGAGTGTTTTAAAGTGAGCCTTTTGGTGGATATAACTGTCCTTCCAGCACATGCTGCATTCCAGTGGACACACCACCAGCCCCTACAGATCCCAGGCAGCAGAGGGGAGCCTTCATGCAGCCACCGCGGAGCGCTTCAACCACCACAGCAACAACACCAAATTGAAAGCAGCGTGGCAACCTCGGTGAGGCAGACAGGAGGAAAAGACCTGCATGGACCAGCCTCAGCTTCACTGACTGCAACAAATGTGCTGGGACAAGCGCTCAGCACAGCCAGCAGACACCAAGCTGTTTTGTTCTCCATCCTGGTGCACTCTCTCTTCAGGAGCAGGAAATGCACATAAAATGCCTGGACCTTTTAATGTAATTATGATTTTATGGGACTGCAAGCAGCTCTGAGGAAACAATCATCTCGACCTCACTGCTAATCCTCACTTGTTCGCCTTTCACTCAAAAGCACAAGAAGGTCATTTGTAAAATGTAACCTTGCTTCATTATCTAAGGTAGCGGCTGAGAAAGGACTTTGGAGAAGATTAAAGTTAAGGCAAGATACTCTCTTAATTAGAGCACATAGCCTTATTTAGATTGAGAGGGAATAGAGATCCTTCTATGCAGCACAGAACTCCTTTCAGGTCTGCTACACAGAAGGCAAAAGTTGCCACTGCTCCCATCTCCCAGAGTTCTGTTCTACTGTCAGAGCCCAGAGTTGCACCTGGAAAATTGGTGAGAACAGGGGGCAAGCTGGCCACCACGGTGACCAGCAGTGCACTGCACTCTGGTCAGCTCTCCTAGGTACAGGCAAGTATTTCGGACGGCACCACAGCTATCACTCAGGCATTTGCTCAGCAGCAAGCATCTCATACAAACAAGCTTCTAACACTGTCACTTGAAAAAAATACACCCACTATGGCTCACCCACCCAGGCAAAGCATACATTAAGCCACAAGAGCCTTTTCCTCAGTGCTGGTGTAGCACCACTCAAGGCCAACACCAGAAGCAGATTACATTACCAAGAGTACATATTCTCCCCCAAAATCTGAAAACAACACAAAACAAAACCTCCACACTCCACAACCACTGTTCTTACAGGTAATTTAAGTACAAGCTAGGATTTCCTAATGGTAAAAGCTTTGTGAACTGAGCACATCCAGAAAGCAGTGCCAGTGAGAAAAAGGTAGAGCAGGGTGAGCAATAATGGATGGCAGGCTGGTACTCAGGAAAACAGAATGCCAAAGTGACAGAAAACAATGTGGGTCAACTTCAGGCAATATTCCTGCCTACTGAAGATTCAGGTTACACTTACAGGTGCAGAAGCAAGTCAGCTTCTATTCTTCATAAAGCTTTGCCACCAACTCCCTAAGATTCTCCCAGTCCCTTTCCAACCAATCCAGCAAACATCCTTCTTTAACATCTGTGGAGCAACAGGACACCCACTGAAGGCTTCCAGTATGGTCACCATACTTGTACTACCATCTGACTTGATGTGGAGCAGCTGACCTGTTAACTCATTCACTCTGGTCTAGTATTAAATGTGGAGGTTGGTTGCCCTGCCTGTGGTGGGGAGCATGATGATCCTTGAGATCACTTCCAACCCAGACCATTCTATGATTCTATGATTTGATGTCAGCAATCAGAAAATAGGAAGCAGTACCACCTTGACAGCCCAAACACCCATGACATTGAGAGTTGGGTTACACTAGATGTTTCTTGACTGGTACGAAAAGATCTCTGCTGAAATTTAGCACTGGATGCACACCACCAAGGCCCGCAGTCACCCGTGACACCTTTCTGAACGTGCATCAAGCAGTTTGCCACTTAATGCTTTTCTTCATTTTGTATATTTCTCTCCAATATTCCTCACCTACATGAAATCAGAAGCACTGAGAAAAATGCTCTAGGCAAGCAGTGAAAGAACAGGTGGGCAGGTTTTATATTCATAACTCAGATCTACCCACTGGACAAAACCTGCATTTGGCTCAGGTCAAGGATGGCGCCAGATCTGCAAAGGCACTAAGACCTGCTTGCCAGCTTTGTTTCTAGGAGGCAGCCAATGTGAGTCCCTGTGGTGTGAAAGCTATTCCCAGTGACCTGGCACAGGAGACTGCAGCCATCTGAGGTGCTTCCAAGCAGCCTGCCAGGCAGAATCTAAACCAAACAACAGTCCGCATTCAGTCGCCTGCACTGATCAACCCAGCCTCTTCAATAAATTAAACCCCTTCTTAATTGTATTGTCCCTTTTTATGTGCAGCGCTATCCAGAGCAGCTCCACTGGCAAATGACGAGATCTTTCAATACCACCCTTCAAGTAATTTATATGTAAATAATAAAAAGCGGGTCCCAACACTACTCCCTGCAGCACTCACCAATTAATCTCCTTTTAGCTTTTTACTGCCACCCTTTGTTTCCTGCCCTATAGCCAATTTCCAGTAGACTGTGCCAACTTTCCACTTAGTCTACAGCTTCATATCTTTTTATATTAATAACCTGTGATGCAGAACAGTTTCTCAAATGTTTTCTCTTTTTCAGAAACCAAAGTGCTCAGGCAAGATCATCTACTGCATTTTTATTTGTTTAATTCTCTAGTAGACATACCCCTCAAGGACTTGAAGCTACTAAAGCGTGATGTTTGCTTCCTTAAACCACCTTGACTCCCTTTGATCAAACAGTACTTCTCGAAGTCCTTGCCTTGCTCATTCCTTTAAATGCTGTAATTCCCCAAGATTGCTCCAGAAGGCAGATGTGAATCTAAAACAGTCTCCTCTGACATATTTGTGAAGTTGTCAGAAAGATTTCACTAACGCATTTGAAAAGGGAAAAATTCTCCTTGGTTACTCTCTTATCATTTGCTCTGCCGGGTGACGTTGGGTTCATCGCCAGCAAAGACCAAGTGCTTTTGTCAGAGCCACACTGCTTCCACTGAATAGCTGAGCTGAGCTGAGCTGCTGCTTGAAAAATTTCAGGATGAAATTCTGCTTCACAGCTGCAACAAGAAGGCCCTTGCTGAGCCTTAAAACGCAGAATTTCCTGCTGAAAGCTTTCAAATGAGCTGTTCCATTATGAAAAATAAATATTTAATTCCATGCCAGAGAGCCTCAGCCATGGCTTGCCTGCTTTGTGCTTCTCCAGTTCATTATAAAAGGCTCAATTCTCTAGAGCTCACCAACCTGCAGAAGTCCGCCATATCTGGTCTCAAAACAGCTGAGCCACTGAATCCTGATTACATTTGTCAGTCTTGGCTACATGTCTTCTCCTCCCATAGCCTGGCACTCTATCAAAGTGTAAATTCACACCACTCCCAAATTACTTCTCTCTCTATTTTTGGATGTAGTCGCAGGGACGCTTACCTTTCCTTCAGATAAATTTTGGTGGACATACCATACCAGAATTTTGTCACACAGCAGTAAAAAAAAAATCACCTTTCCCCCAGATTTGGAAAGGACACTGTCATTACAGCATGGAAACAGAAGCCAGACTTGGATTCTCCCCATGTTACGACACTGTGTGCCTTCACTGCCTGTGCTTCCCTTTTTCTAGGTCTGGAAACCAGACATTGTGCTTCCCTACATCCTCTACAAAGAGGATTCAAAATCCAGTGCTGCACTAAAGGCCAAATGTGACTGCTGCCCGAGGCCACTGCGCTTGCTTCCAAGTGCCAGGTTTCCCAGATGGCAGCATAAAGACTTTTCTTAGTGCTGATTTCTGTGCACGGTGTCCACATATGAACACAAGAAGATGGAGAAAAATGTGAGGAGATAAAGTGTTGGCGGCCTCTTTGGGAAGAGAAGGAAGAGATGGCTAAGAAAAAGAGGTTCAATGGCAAGCAAGTCAGAGCATATGTTACTTCCTAATATAATTCAAGTTGTGTGGTTTGTTCTTTCTTCTTTCCTCCTTTCCTATGTCTCTAAATCAAGGTGGCTGGTGCTCTGTCTTTACTCCTGCTGCCCCAGTAGATTTCTGCTGAATTTAGCTGAAAAGGGAACATGGAAACACAAACAATTTTGCTTCCCTTTAATAATGCAGTTAAGAGATCCTGAAACGTGGATAGCATAGGAACTGAATGCCATATTCCAGAATTTGAACACGTGCACACACACAGTACACACAAATTAGAAAAGCCCATGAGAGGCGTTGGTTTATATGCACAGACAAATACAACAGCAGCAATTGGCAGAGATGATACTGCTGAGATACTGCGCTGCAGCTATTACATACCCCAGAAACAGTGCGTCTCAGCATGCCAGACAGAAAAATAAATAGGTAAAATTGCATCATTTCACTGGCGCTAAACAAAACCATCAAAGTGATGAGGGCAGAGCTGCTGCCTGCCTGGCAGAGAACAGCAGCAGGTCCCAAGTGATGGACTCCACACACTTGAAGTGGGGAGAGGGAATGGACCAGATTGATAGCAAGGAAAAGTGAAAAAGGACCTCTGGACCTCCTCCTTTTATCCAGGACCAGAAACTCTCAGCATTTCTTTCTAATTTTCAAGTCTCAAAGATGTTGTAAGCAAGGTCAATTAAGTCATTTTCTTCCTTCCTAACAGTGTTGTGTCATTTGTGTATTTTCGTTCTCTTGCATTACAGAATCACAGAATTGCAGGGGTTGGAAGGGACCTCAAGAGATCATCGAGTCTGACTCCCCTGCTAAAGCAGCTACCCTACAGTAGGTCACAATGTGCTTTATTTATTGCTGTAGCAAGCAACAAATTCAAGGTCAGGTACTGGGTATGGTTAAAACAACAGAAAGCCAGCTGACAATGGATGGCAATTGGGCTATGGCAGTAAAGCCTCCTTTTTTCAGGATGGCGTGCCCTTGCTTAATATTTTATAGAGAATATGTCATCTGTTCTCTGATGTAGGAAGACAAATAAAGCCACAGAGTAAAAAGTTTCCATGTTTCTTTGTGCACAAAAAAAACATGCAATCTCCTTTAGAAGCCTATATATCTTTCACTGCAAAGTCTATGGTGATTAAAAACTGGAATTTGTTTGCAAGTCAAAATGATGGAAGCATTTAAAACTGGTTCCCAAACAGGTAAGTAGCAAGTTCACTACCCCATCATAGTAAATATCACATCATCTCTTCTTTATGCTATCATCTGGGAATGCGCAGTGCCACTTCTACCATTATTTGGGGTTTGCACAAAACCACCATAAAGGATTAAGCACAAGATGTGAAGAGGCAGCCAGATGGAAGCATAAAGCACTTTTCCAACATGCTCTTGGCATTTTTCTACTTAGCAGTTGGATTTGGTACCCTCTGCCTAAAGCAGCATGCATGCTACTGTGGAAGACATCCAATGCCCCCTTTTGGAGAAGGCAGGTTTATCTCTGCTTCTGTGAAGGCATGATCCAGGCCTCAAAGGGAGTCAGAGCCCACGAAAATGGGGAGAGATGGTCACACTGAATGGTGAGGATATATGATAGCCAACAACAAGGGAAAGAAAATATCAAAGCTCTGGCTGGGATAAGGATCAATTGGAGGAAGGCAAACAGCTGGGGAATTCATAACATTCCTATTCCAAGGATGTTACTAACTTCAGGTGTCACCCCACAAACACCTTTGGGAAGTGCAGCGTGTTACCTGGAATGAGCCGCAATCAGAATGGAGTCAGATTTGGGAAGAACAAATAAGCACAGAAAGTACATTTGTTTCTCTTCCACAAATGAGGTCGGTGAAGCTTGGCTGTTTTACCTCAGGAGATGAGGATAGGAAAGGTTTGATGTAGATATTGGAGTCGTGAACCTTCAGGTCGTGGTCTCCCAGTCCTCGAGTCACACCAATTGTTGCCATAACCCGAGCCTAGAAATAAAGAGATGGGGTCAAAAGCTGTTACAAGCACTGTGTCAAGATGGAAAGAGATAACATTCCTACTTGACAGTTGGACTACATGATCTTAGAGGTCTTTTCCAATCTTAATGATTTTCTGATACTCCATAGCTGTTGCAGTTAGGATGAATTTCCCTTATTCTCCCAGGAGCTTAAGATTTAACATAGCTAATCAACTTATAAAATTCACACTCACAGTATCTCCATTTCTTATTTTGTGTTTGTCCACATTTCAGTCTGCACACATCCACCTTAGAATATGACCACCTGTGAGGTATGAAACTATATGGAACTGATATGTGACAGTCACCTGACTGTTCCATATCAGTCAGTGAGAGCACTCCTTCAGCAAATTATAGTATTTGTACAAAGTAAATAAGTATTGTAGAAAGGACAAGGAGCCTAATTACTCACTTAAGAAACCTGAGGCTCCCTTTTTGGACATATTGCCACCTATCCTCTCCACCAAGGAAGAATGTCTAGGGCAAGCTGCTGAATACACAGAGCACAAGAATTGCAAGACCACAGAGGTGATGGTGCCAGTGACCACTGGACTCTGTGGCTCTCTGCTATTACTTCAGTTCTAATGCTTTTTTCCTTAAACATCTTCCTCTGAGACAATGGCTGTTTCTCAAGAGGTGCGAGGCTCTTCTTGAGTAATGCTTCTCCAGAGACAGGCATTCTCCCTCATGGGGAACCCAGCTCTCTGCTACCTGCACCTCCTTTCTGTCAAATTCTGGCTTTGCCACAGCAGCTTCTGAGCAGGAATGCTCACAGCAACAGTAACAGTGAGAGACTGACTCAAAATTATTTTGTCTCCCTCACCCCTGGCTCCATCAGGCAATAAGAGTAAATTAAAAAGATGTGAATGAAACATTTTGCAAATAATTATAAAACTAACCAAATTCAGAGATAAGCTGCAGGTCTGAACCTTCAAAACTTGGGCTAATTTTGAACAGCGTGCATTTTTGCATTGAGATAAGAACCTAAAGCAGCTATAAAGGGGAGCACTATTTAGAAACATAGCGAGCATACCAATATCGGCAAAATGACACCACTGCGCCCTTGTATTGATCCAATTGCTGCATCCAGCTAAGCTTGCTGGGATCAGCACTAATGATCTCACTGTTCTTAATCAAGGAATTGGAAACAAATTTCATCCAAATGGAAGGGTTCACTTTTTCCTTTCAAGAAAAATTAACAGGAATCACATCAGAAAAATTCAAAGGTGAGTTCACATACACCAGCTGAAGAAGATGTGGTTAAGGGCTGTTATAATTCCTAAATCCTGCCCTGATCTCTCTTCTTCTTAATTAGGTTTTTTACATCTCAAAGCACTGTACATTGTTATAAAATAACTCCCTGCTTTGTTTTCAGCAAAGAAGAGTTATTTTGCTGCCTTCATCCAGACTAGTTATATCTTACAATCAAACCAGGATCATTTAAAGTCATTTACTGAACAGGTCTTACTGCAGCCTGGTTATTTACAATGAAACAAAACCTAAATCAAACTGAACAACAAATGACTATGTTTGCTACAGAACTGCTTTTTAATGCTGAGCTCTTCTCTTTCCTCCATCCTAGACATGAGACTGATTTATGACAGAACCAAGATATTCTCTCAAGCTGTCAAAGCGATAAAATAAAGAGATACTGAGTGGAAAACACTGGACTGCCAGAGGCTAAGCTGAGTGGTAAACAGCACAGAATTCCTTCTTCTTTGCCCTGAGGAAAGCGCATGTACCCACCTTCTTGCCTTCTCCATAGATAAGGGGAAACTTCAAGTCATCTTCCTCGATGGTTTTGTATGCCCTGTGGGGGGACAAACAACATTTATAAAGCTTGCACTCAATTAGTGACCCAGCGCCCTGAAACAAACAGCTGTGATTTCTTTATTGCTTTTCTTTTTTTTTTTTTTTCTTTTGAATCATTATTTTTCTAGGGACTCTGTTTTTTATCCATGATATACTTTCTTTTTTTCCTCTGGAAAGATTTTTTTTTTTTAATGAAGATTTAATCAATTTCTCCGAAAGAAAAAGTGATCACAAAGAAGCACAAAGCGCACCAACCTGCTCCTCTTGCCTGCAAGGAGAAAGAGGTAGACTGGTATAGCATCCTCCTCAGGTAAGATATTGTTGGCTATGGCAACCACTATACCATAACACAGTGCCATTAAAAATATTAGTAAACAAAAAGCCAAGGAACTAAGCAATGACTAGATGAACACAGTTAACACAGAATGATGAGCAACAACTGAGTGCATACATGGTCATGGTGTGAAATAGCTCTTCGACAGTGTTCTCACCTTTCAAGATCGCTTAAACCAAGCAGCATTCACATGCTGAAGAGTTTTAAAAGGCTATTTAGTGCTTATTTGACCTTGACTGCAACATTCAAGGTTGCCAGAAATTTTATATTTCGCAGCACTTTTCCAGTGGACATGGGAAGTAAATGTTCATGCTCTGATTCTGCTTGCCATGTGCCTGTGTACTCTGCCTTTTACACATCCAGCTGTTGACACTGATGAGGTGAGAAGGTGAGCAATTTTGCCAGTGAGAAATAAAATAAGATGGCTGTCACTCTCACAGCCACAGAGCTCCCTATTTTTTTGCAACACAGACTGGGGCCAAAGGGCTGAGCAGACTCTGTGATCAGGGTATGTCACCCCACAGCTTTCCATAGGACACGCTTCCCTTCGTGCTACAAAACTGACCCTCCCCAGATTATTCCCTGCATGTTATCCTTCCTTCATTCTATGCCTGCCTCAATCCTTGGAGTGATACCAAAACTATCATTGAAAGCACAAGTCAGCACTCCTCAATGAAGCAGAAGGGACAGGACCACAGCAGGGCCCTGCCAGCCCCCACCTGCCCCTGCTGTGTGTTTCTCAAGCTGAGCTGGCTGCTTGAGCCTGAGGGAGATACATTCAATGTAAGCAATGTGACACAAACCAGCAGGAAATTAAAAATTAAGGGTGAGGTCCTAAACTGTAATTGAACTGCCCCCTGCTTCAATAAAGTATGGCATAGATCTGGGATCAATAGTGCTGTTTTACATAGCTATACATATTGCAGCAAACAAGCTTCGGACTTGAAGCAGCAGTGTAGATATTTAAGGCCCACCACTGGTTTTCTAATAATCTCAGGCTGAGTCCTTGTTGGGATTTGGGCAGTAGGGTAGGAAGAAAAAACAAAAATAAACAGAAACTAAAAGAAGAAACAGCAGCGGAAGTCTCCACACCCACACTACAAGATATCACTGAACAGAACCAGGTAGGGTTTGTAAAATACAGTAGGGGGAGGCTCAGTAGTCAAGAATATCTTGGATACCTGGGCATCTCAAGTGATACTATGGAGAAAACATTTAAATAGCACATTCAGTACTCATAGCCAGCGTAATAAAATTTTACTGACATTCAAAACTTGGAATGGCATTTTCTTGGGAAGGATGAGTCAGTCAGTCATGGACTTTGCTCCTGTTCCTTTCTTTACATCCAGCAGGCAATAAATCAGAACTCTGCCTCACTCACCAACTTGGTATCCTAGTTTGAACAAAGAGGAAAATTTTACCATAGCTCCATTCACTGCCTGGCTGCTCACGAACACATTCCACAGCTTCCAGCTGGACCTACAGTGCTGGAAGCCTTGGGAAAACCTCCTTGAGGAAAAGTCTGAATCCTTCTCATTCCTTTGCACAGAAGCAATTGTGCTCCAACACCAAGACAAACGGTGTGTCAGCTGAGTCCATACTAGTCATTGGAGTCAAATGACTAATGCAAACCACAAGCCCAGCAATTCCTGTTGGATTTTTAAGTTGCTAGACATATTTGTTACAAATAGCAAACATGAATAATTTGACATAACTTAACTACTTGTAACCTCCCTTTTTAAAGGAATAAGAAAATTCATTCTTTACCTATGGGTAACATTATTTGCAAGATAACTAAAAATACTGAAGACTGAAGCTCCCACTCCACATTATCTTGTAAGTAGCCAAGGGGACTGACTTTTCATACCACTTTCCCCTCCCTCTTTGATTTCCTTGCCTGGATGCCTACCTGTGCGACCTGATATAGGGAACCTGCTTTGGCAGGGGGGTTGGACTCGATGATCTCTGGAGGTCCCTTCCAACCCCTACGATTCTGTGATTCTGTGATCTCACATCAACTGTGGTTTAGGAAGAAGGGGAAAAAGGAAGGAGAGGTGGAGGAGAAAAAATTGTAACTTGAGCCAGTGTTCTTCAGAAGAAAGGTCTCCATGACTGAGTCCATCAATTCTTAAGGACCCACCATAAAGACCATCTTTCACTGTGACACAATACTGCAAGGATGTTGGCAGAGGCTATGTTGCAAAGGCTGAAGCTAACTTGTTTCATAAAGGGATTAGGAGGGGCATCTGGCTGGCCTATGACCTCCTGAAGCTATGTCACTCAATCAGGGAAGACCTCTAGGCCAACAGTGATTTGTTTTGTGGTTTCTCACAGCAAATCACCTCTTGGACTCAGAACCTGGGTGTCAAGATTCATCTCACGCACTTCTTTTTTCTGTATCGATTTTGCTATTGCCTGAAAAATTATCAACCTTTGAGAAACAATGCAGAAGAACTGTGACCGCAGCAGTGGAGCTGGCATGGATACACTGAAAAGCAATCTGAGACACTCAAGAAAAGTACCTAAGTCCTGCACTACTAGTGAATCAGAATTAATAATATATGAGCTTGTGGTTTCCTGCAAAAGAATGATGAAGGACAGCTTTTCAGCTAGCAGCTCTGCAACTGCGCAGGAAAGAAGGAAGGAAGGAAGCTATGAAGTTCCTGGTGATTTATGCCATTTGAAACCTCCTGTACTTTGTACATGTGTTTATTTCACACAAGCTACAACCCTCTGGACTATTTCACTTGACTTTATGCAGTAAAGTTGCATTTATATCTTCCTGTGCTCTTTAGAGAGTATGCTGTACATAAAGATATAATATGGCAATCAGTATATCAAACACAGACATATGGAGAACCTGAGGGGGTTGTTTGGCTTTTTTTAATACCAATGCAGCCTTGTTCAGACATCTTCATAATTCAGTCTACCTCGCTGTTTTAACAAACACAAATGCAGGCTTCTGATTCTCCACACTCCTCATCTCCCTCATCTGCATCCCAGAAGTATTCAACAGCCACCAATGCATGAGAAGACAGGTTATGAAGACAAGGCCACGCTACTGCTTGCTGCTCTGAGTTAGCCTAATCCTGTCAGTGCTTCTGCCACGTAAACCTCTACTTCTCCAAATGGAAAAACAGAGCAGTAGAGAGGGGGGAGCAAAAAAGGCAAGCTTTTGCCCAGCTGAATCTAGCTGCATTTCTTTCAGTTAACTTCATTTCTTCTTCTCGTTTCAGAAGAATTATGAAATGGTGCTGCTGTCCAAAAAAACTGAACTAGGGCTTGACATATGTACCACCCACAAAGTTACATTTGGACTCAGGACCAACATTTTGAAAAACCAGGCCAAATCGCACCAGGAGCCAAAAGAGATGTCAGAACGAAAGAACTAGGACTGACATGATGTTACTCATATGCAAACTGGAATCTGCTCTAAATACATGGAAAAAAAAAAAAAATCAGAAGCAGCTAAATACCAAAGACAATCTATCAAATAATTTTTTGCAGTACCTGCAGTCCTGCAGTCATTAGTAGCACATTAAATATTTGTTAAGTAAGAGACTATCAAAGCTATGCACACACTGCTGGGCTGGAGCTTGAAACACTAGTCACCTCCCAAATACAGATTTCATGAGCCAAAATCCTAGAGAATTTCTTACATGCATTAAGCCTTCTGTTCTTAAAATTAGTCTTCTGAAAGTACGCACAAATTCATGAGTAGAATGAGTAGAAGATACAAATATACAAATAAAAGTTTTTGGTGACAAAAGAACACACTGTATTTTCTTTTACAGCATATGGTCCAAGTCTGCTGTTCATGAAAGGGTATTGTATCAGCATCCTTGGGTACAAAAGATGGTAGCAAAAAAACAATCTAAGCTGACCTAAAAGGCTCTGTTCTGTGAATGGCATAAGAATCCAGATTCCATGCTCACTGTATGCTCTGCTTTTCCACAGCATTTGGCTTTAGAACACTTGCTCATTTTTCACATCTTTGCTAGTGACACCTGATATTTAGGGAGGAACAGCAAAAAGGAATCGCTATCAGAAGCCTTTAGCTTGAAGCACAAAGCAAAACTCACTTGTGGCAAGCACAAAGGAAAAGCACTACAGCATGAGAAATGCCTTAGTTTATATTGAATACAAGGATGAAGACTCTCCTTTGAGACATGTTTGTAGACAAAGTGTATTTCTAGCACTGTTTCTCTACTAGCCTGCAAAAAAGCAAAGACATACCAAACAACATACCAAACACAACAAAATCTCTCCAGCAAACCAAACAACCTTCCACCCTCCTGGTCTGTGTCACCCAAGGTCAAGTCTTCTTGGCCATACCAATAGAAAAGGAGAGTTATATCCTTGAGAAACACACAATTTGATAGAAATAGGCGTTTCCTTCCTGCCCTGCCTGCCCTGCAGCCCCAGAAAGGAATAAGTGGATTGGAGCTACCTTTGGATAACAGAGCTTAAACCACCACCCCAAAATGAACTCTTTGTACTTTCTATTGAGCTACACACAAAATTTTCCAAAGGGAGAAGTGATATGTAGCACAGGTTAGAGCACTGAAAATTATGCAATTTATGTCTTAATGAAACCATAATTTTTTAAAACATTCCTACACATGTGCTTTTGCAGAGTCAGGATCTTTAAATCCAGAGAGCAC